CCCAACTTGTAAAGACATTTTAACCCTCTAACAATGAAGTCAATGAGGAGAACTTGAAATTGTTTTTGAATGTCTGATACACTTTTTTTCTTTCTTTTCTTTTTTTTTTTTTTGAGACAGAGTCTTACTCTATTGCCCAGGATGGAGTGCAGTGGTACAATCACAGCTCACTACAGTGTAGAACTTCTGGACTCAAGCAATTCTCTTGCCTCAGCCTCCCAAAGTACTGGGATTACAGATGTGAGCTACTGAGTTCAGCTCATTTTCTTATAAGGACCTGAATATCAGCTCTTTGCCAAGTCAAATGGTTTGGCACATAGGCAGGGATAATTTTAGAGCTCTGAAATAAAATACAAAAATAGCAATAATGTAGTTTTTAAAACTAACTCTGGGATTAAAAGAGAAATATGTAAACAATTATGTTTTCTTAAAGATTTCTAGGAGCACTGTGACCTGACCAAAGACAGAGAAGTTCCCAACATCCCTGGCCCCTTGCTGGCACCCAGATGATTGTGTTCATTGATTACCTCTTGATCCCAATACCCTTCCCTTCCCCTCCCTTAACATAAAAATAACCTGAAATTTGTACTGATGAAGATAAACTTTAGAATGCTAGTTCACCATCTTCTTGTTTTTCCTGGCTTTCCAAATAAACCTACTTTTCCTCCCACCAATCCTTGTCTCTCAAGTTTGGCTTTTGAGTTGCTAGCAGCTGACCCTGTGTTCAGTAACATTTTCAATATAAATCACTATTATTTCTCTTGGGCATCCACTGGCTGAAATTCAAGTTCTTTCTCTAATGCCAAAATCCCAAATCTCCATTTCATCAGCTTCAAATACATTTAAAAATGTCAAAATGCATTATGATAATGTTGTCAGATAAAGCCAAAAATACCGTCCATCTTTTATTGTCTTTGAATGGTCAGAAAATGAACAATAAAGGAATATCAGAGATGCTTCTCTAGAAACTTTAGTATTATAATTAAATCTGCCAAACATTTGCATGTGGTGTTTATAGCACAGTGTTTTATGTTTTCCAGGGAGAGAGATTATAGTTAATGAGTTGTATAACTCATACCTGAATTCATTTTTTCCTTTCTGTGTAAGTTGATTCCAAGGCATCAGTTTAAAGACCAGGAACAGAAGACCAGAGGCATAATTCAAATTACTGAGCACCTTCTGCTAACAATGTATAATGATTTTGTTACTTAGTACATGCGTACTTAACCCAGAGCCTAAGTTACCTTAGTACATGTGTACTTAGGTTCTGGGTTTAAAAAATAATAAATTATATACCTCTAGTCTTTCTTTTATTACTTTATTTTTTAAATAATTTTTAAAAATTTTAAGTTCAGAATACATGTGCAGAACTTGCAGGCTTGTTACATAGGCATACATGTGTCATGGTAGTTTGCTGCACCTATCAACCCGTCATCTAGGTTTTAAGCCCTGAGTGCATTAGGTTTTGTCTTAATGCTCTCTGTCCCCTATGTAGCTGTAGCTTTGATTTCAAAGTCTAGTACGGGATTTTTTTTTTTTTTTGAGTCAGGGTCTCATTCCATTGCCCAGGCTTGAGTGCAGCAGCACAATCTTGGCTCACTGCAACCTCTGCCTCCTGGGCTCAAGTCATCCTCCTACTTCAGCCTCCTAAGTAACTGAGTCTACTGCACGCATCACTGCTCCTGGCTAATTTTTGTATATATGAACAATATAATATAGAATATAAAATATCATATATAACATATATAAAATATATATAATATAAAATAAATAAAAATATAAAATGTAATAATATAATATAACATATATAATATATATATTGTAGAGAAGGGGTTTTGCCATGTTGGCCAGGTTGGTCTTGAACTTCTAAGCTCAAGCAATTCACCTGCCTCCACCTCCCAAAGTACTAGGATTACAGGCGTACGCCACCATGCCTGGCCGAAACAAATATAAACAGCTGGTGATGGAAGGTAAAAAACTCCTATATTGAAGCATTGTGTCACAGGTCACCAACTCTGCCTAGGGAACCCTTCTCAGAAGGGAGAAACTTTGAGATGGGCCTTGAGGAATGAGTTGGAATTTTCTGAGAAAAAAGAAAGCTAATGGTGTTTCTGGAGGAGGAAACAGTACGTGTTTGGGAGTAAGAGTTTTGGGAGAAAGGCAAAGAGTTCTGTGTAACTAAATTAAAAGGAGTACGTGAGTGTATTGCCTTGAGCCTCATTTATGTTTTACTTCTGAATATACTCTGAACTTTTATTCTGTCTATTGCTGTTTGAAGTGTTAAATAAACAACGATCCAAGATAGACACGACACCTAGTAGCCTTCCACTGTATTGTGGAGTGGGTTAAGATGAATCTTTAGGATAGTTACAGATTCTGCCTTTAATGCATTCACAATATATTGACTGAGACAAACTAGAAGCGTTTTGCTTCTATTTACTTGAGTGAGTGGAAGGAACTGAAGCATAAAGAGCCGTGAATGACTCATTTGGTGGGGAGTGTTAGGCTATAACTTAAGACCTCTGATTTCGAGGGAGCCTTTGGTTCATATCTGCACACCTTCCAAGATCTACAGACATTGTTTTCCACAGCACAAGTACCTCACCATCTTAAGGGAAGGCACATAAAAAGAGCAAATATCTCTGCCAACCCGAGATCCTCTTTGTTCTGAAAATACCACCTGTACTCACTGTTTAGCACCTACCAAGAAAGCAAGTGTTTAATGGCTCAGTCTTGGGTATCCGCAGGGCTTAGCCTATGCTCAGCACAATCTGATGGGAATTGGAGGCCTATAAGATGTGTGGGTTTTTTTTTACCCTCTTGGAGTTTATAATTGGAATGAGATTACCACCCAGTTAGAGCTTAATTACAGAGAGTTGGGCTGGGTGTGGTAGTTCAAATCTGTAATCCCAGCACTTTGCGAAGTTGAGGCAGGAGAATCCTTTGAGTTCAGGAGTTCAAGACCAGCCTGGGCAACAAAACGAGACCCTATCTCTATAAAAAAAGAAAATAAAATAAGCTAGCCAGGTGTGGTGGTGTGTGTCTGCAGTCCGAGGTACTTGGGAGGCTGAGGTGGGAGGCTGGCTTGAGCCCAAGAGTTTGACCTTGCAGTAAGCCACTTTTGCCACTGCACTGCAGCCTGGGCAACAGAGCCAGACTCTGTCTTAAAAAAAAAAAAAAATTATAGAAGAAAGTTGGTTACAGAAGCAGAAGAATTCTATCTGTTCCTGACTATGGACTTCCAAAACCTTTTTCTGAATCAGAATTTCCAGCTGTCTTGTGACACATTTGTGAGGATGTGCCAAAGGCCCTTAAATTCAACCGGTTCAAAATTAGACTGATTAATTCTTTTTTCCCATTATTCCCATCTCAAGTGCTCTCCATTCTATATTTAGATCTTGGTTAATAGTATTATCTTCTGTTCAGCGAGCAAACTAGATATTTGTGGGCCCTAAATGATTTCTTCCTTTCTCTCACACTTTAATATCCAAACTATCACTAAGTCATGTTCATGTAATCTTCAAAATGAATTTCAAATTTCGACTGTAGTTTGGTGTAAATGTAATAGTCTGTAATTCGTAGTATGCCAAAAAATATATAGCTTCTATGCATGGGTAGCAATGGATGCTGTGGTGGGAACATCTGTTTGACAATGCATGTTGGCTCAGTTTCTTCAAGTTACGCCCATTTCAGGTTAACTCAGACTTCCAAGATTTCTCTACATTCCTGGCTTCTCCCCCGGAGGCTTCTGGGTATGGGTTAAAGCTGTCTTGTCTCATGTGATAAGAGAAGCATCTGGGGGTTGAGAGGTGATGGAGGCAAGATCACATTTTGTCCTCTGAGTTTTTGCTTGTCTCCAGCTGAAGTGTCCTTTGCTTTTCCCTGTATGTGTCATCCTATGTTCTCACTAAACCATCAGCGACAGAACTAGTCTCACCTGGTTTTTGGTACGTGTTAGCACCTGCTGTTGCTGAGCTTGGAATCCATCATGGTCTCTGGTGCTGCGGCTGCTGCATTCTGGCTCAAAGTCCTTGCCATTTCTCAAGTCCTTCCAGCATGTTCTTGCTCCCTGAGCAGGTGGGAACCTCTGGATCTTCTGCACGTTGTGCACAGTGTTGATTATGTTTTCCTTGCTAGATCTTCCTGCCAATGCCATTTCTACGTGTCTAATGTTAGCTCTAGTGTTCTCAGATTTAGTCATGTTTATCTAGATTGTCTTCGTCCCACTCGTTGAGTTCTGACCACTTTGCCCCGTCTCTAGAAGATGAAGGACTTTCTCTCGTTTTTCCCCTGTCTGTATGGTCAGCTCATATTGTTCCCCATGTGGATGCATCATTCGAACTCTTTTCCCTGGAGCCGTAAGATGACAGGACTGTAGGGGAATATGATTTATAGTGGAAATAAGGACTCTTTGTTTACTATTTTCAAAATAGTATTCTTATTACATATAGTCTCATTTGTACATACACGCCTCTGTGCATTTTTTGTTAAAACAAAATTATTACTATACTTAATTTCTGGAAACTTCTTTTTTAGTCAAATAATATATTTTGAAGCACTTTCCATGCCAGGACATTCAGATATAGTTTATTCTTTTTAATGGATACATACTATTCAATTATATGACTGTATCATGATTTGTCTAGTGGTGGATGTTTAGCTTGTAGTATTCTATTTTTACTATTACAAATATTTCTGCAACAAACCTTGTACGTTGTGCAAGGAAAATTGACCATTTCTGTATTTCCCTTACTGCTTTGGTGGGCTTGTTTTGTCCTGCTTAAAACGATCCTTTTCTACCCTAAGACCAAATACGTATTTCTTTTATTTTTTCTTTTCTTTTTTACGTTTTATCTTTTTCTTTTCTCTCTTTTCTTTTATACTTTAACATGTTTAATTCATTTTGATTTTTAAAAATATTCTATGACATTGGTAGAATTATCATTTTTCCATATATTATAGAGTTGTGTATTTAAAAAAAAACAACAACAAATTTTCAGGTCCTCTCTCCCATGGTGGGTGGGTGGGGGGTTTCCTTTTTTCCTCAGCCAAGGCTGAAAGCAAAGATCAGATCTTGAGGATCATTGTCAAGACTGCCAGGCACTGGGAAGCCTTGTTTTCCTACCTCAGACTGTAGAAAACAAAACCCCAATTTTTTTCACAGAAATGTTTCTGGTTGAAATCAGTTACTTGGGAAAGTTAGGTTGAGTGATGTTCTAATTGATCTCACTTTCCTACTCAGCATTTCAGTTCTCATTCTTTTGTCTTAAACTACAATTGCCAAATGGCCTAAACCTGTCTTTGCAATAAGGCAGTAGATGTAAATTTCTCTCTTCCCTATTTGCGATAGTTAGGTTGTTAAACTGAATGAATATCCAATCTCAGTTTACAGATCCCCACTGCAAATATAATGAAGCAAAAACCATTTAAAATCACTATAGAACCCCAGAATGAACTCCAAAACTGAGAATTTGTGCAGTGTTATCATATTTTATTTGTTTATTTATTTTTAAGAGATGAGGTCTCGCTGTGTTTCCCAGGCTAGAGTGCAGTGGCACGATCATGGCTCGCTGCAGCCTCGAACTCTTAGGCTCAATTAATCCTCCCGCTTCAGGTTCCTAAGTAGCTAGGACTTCAGGCACATGCCACCACCCCTGGCTGATTTTTATTTAAAAAAATTTTTGGAGAGATGGTGTCTCACCATGTTGCCCAGGCTATCTATCATAAGGTTCAAAACAATTTCAACAGGCTCATTTGTAATAAAATGTAAAAGCAGAGTTGTCAAAGTCTGCATTTAAAAAATGTCTGTTACATAACTGTTATTTTTGCAAAAACAGAATTTGTTTTCTTCTTAAGTCTCTCTATTTATCTACCTACCTACCAACCTCCTCATCCATATTTAGATCTATCTATAGATACATATTTGAAGAAACTGAGAAAAAATTATGTACAAAGCAGAAAAGAATTCACTGGCGCCAGTGAATTGGTCAACATTTTGGCCAGTTTTCTTCTCATGTTGTACTTATGCAATGCACATATGGTTTCTTTAACTGCAAAGTAGAAGATCACCACCTACATTTTGACTAAATGTAATAAAGTTGACTATTAAAATTAATATTCAGTGGAACTGATGCTAAAGGCAAATGTAATCATCAAAGAATAAATTTTAATGGCTGGGCACAGTGGCTCACGCCTGTAACCCCAGCACTTTGGGAGGCTGAGCCGGTGGATCACTTGAGGTCAGGAGTTCAAGACCAGCCTGACCAACATGGCGAAACCCTGTCTCTACTAAAAATACAAAAAAGTAGCCAGGCTTTGTGGCGGGTGCCTGTAATCCCAATTACTCTGGAGGCTGAGGCAGGAGAATTGTTTGAACCTGGGAGGAGGAGGTTGCAGTGAGCAAAAATCATGCCAGTGCACTCCAGCTTGGGTGACAGACTCTGTCTCAAAAACAAAAATTTTTTTTAATACCAAAGTAAATCTAATTGATCAAAATAAGATCAATATAATAATGATTATAATTTCATACATTTTTGTGGTAATATTTTAGAAGTTCGACATTAGGCCCGGGCACAATACCTCCTACCGAGACACCTGAGTGCTGCTGTGCTTGTTGTCCTCAGACTGTACCTTTGCCTATCAAGGAGATGCTCGTGTCAGCTAAGGGCAGTGAGGGGACATAGTGTTTGTTGCCATGTGGCCATCTTGCCGCCAAGTTACTGGATGTTCTCACCTCTGAATTGTAACCAACCAAAAAATTTCTACTCTTCGTATTCTGCCTTTGAAGATTGGATCACTGGTAACTGCAATTTCATTGGACAGATCCACAAATGTAAGCTTTTTTGCCTAATTAAAAAAAATACCGAATATTGTTGTGCTCATGTTTTTTGTTTTAAAAAATTTAAGCTTGGGCAACATGGTGAGATCCCACCTGTACTAAAAATTATTATATTATTTTTTGAGACCGAGTCTCACTCTGTTGCCCAGGCTGAGTGCAGTGGTGTGATCACAGCTCACTGCAGCCTCGAATCCCTTGGCTCAAGTGATCCTCCTACCTCAGCCTCCTACATAGAGGGGAGTACAGGTATGTGCTACCACATCTGGGTAATTTTTTGTATTTTTAGTAGAAATGGGGTTTCACCATGTTGCCCAGGCTGGTCTTGAACTCCTAGTCTCAAGCAATCTGCCTGCCTTGGCTTCCCAAAGTGTTGGGATTAGAAGTGTGAGCCACTATGCCCAGACACTACTCAAAATTAAAAAATTAAGTGGGTGTGGTGGCATGGGTGAAGTCCTAGCTACTTGGGAGGCTGAAAGGGTAGGATCACTTGAATGTAGCAGGTCATTGTGGGAAGTGAATCCAGGGCTATGATCATGACACTGCATTCCCTCCTGGGAGACAGAGCAAGACCTTGTTTAAAAGAAAAAAAAAATGTATGCACATGATATACATAATTATGTGGACAAAATTTATTCTTAAGCCTTGGGCTTGGAAAAGTACCAGTGGAGCAATGTGACCGGCTTTCAGGTTAGCATTTTGCTAACCTGAATTTCCACCTGATCTCAGTTCTCACTCACTGCACACACACCAGTGCCAGCCCCTTTGGTGGAGCGGCATGACTTGAAGCTCCTCACAGCAGGAATCATCAGGCAATACTTGCCATCTCATGGCAATCGCTAGCCAACAAGCCTCTTTCTCTGCAAGGGACTACTTGTGAGTGAATTCTGTGCTGTACGTATTCATCTCTGCAAAGCATAGTGCTAAGGCTTTCTTTTGAACAAGAACTGTTTTTTCTTTTTCTTTCTTCAGTAGCTACTCTTCCTCAGCGTCTGACCATATCATAGGAGTACATGATCAGGCAGCTCCATAACCTCTTTCACGTCATGCTGTCGTCTTTGGCTGCAAAAGAATGATGAACGCGGCCCCAGTCTTGCCGCCACAGCCGGCAATGCTGTTACCTTATGCTCTGCTGTAATTACTTCCTGAGTACACAGAACTAAACGATGTGAACTGAACATATGGCTGTGATTCTTAAGCCACTCAGACCTTTGTTTGTTTCATTGTCAATGACAACTGCCTGGCACCTTCCTTTACTGATTTCCCATTTGTAAAGATTCCTTCAGTCACATTAATGTGTGAGATCGGCATTCAAGATTAAGAAGTTTGTTGATGTGAAAATAACACCAAATGCAGTTGCATTTGTCATTAATCCATGGTGCTGACACGTAGACAAAAGTTCACATGACTAATACACAAAATATTAAATATATTTAATAATATCATTAACATTTTTTGTCAAAGTGGAATATAATTGAGGCATAATCTTTTCGGTAACATGGTTTTTAGAATTTACATCCTGTGGCTGGGTGTGGTAGCTCACGCCAGTGCATTCTAGCATTTTGGGAGGCCACAGCAGGAGGATTGCACAAGTCCCAGAATTCAAGACCAGCTGAGCAAAATAATGTGACCCTGTCTTATCAAAAAAATTTTTAAAAAATTTTAAATTTTTAATTTAAAAATATTTTTAAATTAAAAGGAGAATTTATCTCCTGGGCACATATCAGAAATCCATCATTTTCAATATCTAAAAATTACTGGATTCTATGACAAGCCTTTCAACAAGCTTGTTAAAAAGTCTAGCTTTCATAGATTTTGTATTATAAGTAGTTATTTGTCAAGTCTGTTGTATGTCATTTGTTCATAAAATATGTTTAGGTGCCTCATTTTTCTCTAACTTTTCCTTTTTTCCATATGAATCACTGAGAATGTCTAAATTTTTTAAAAATAAGTTTTCTCATATTAACACATAACTCTGCTGACTGGTCTTATTTTATATTCATGACTTTGAACCACAAATTGGACCTTGTAATTACACTATAGTTTTCTGGTCTATTTTTTTTCCTGGTTTCTTAAAAGACTCACACATTTTTTTTTTTTTGAGAGAAAGTCTCGCTCTGTCACCCAGGCTGGAGTGCACTGTGGCTCAATATCAGCACAGCAGCCTCCACCTCCAGGGTAAAAGTGATTCTCATGCCTCAGCCTCTCAAGTAGTGGGGATTACAGGCTGGCACCACGCGCCTGGCTAATTTTTGTATTTTTAGCAGAGTGAGGTTTCACCACGTTGGTCAGGCTGGTCTTGAACTCTTGGGCTCAGATAATCTGCCCACTTCGGCTTCCCAGTGTGGTGGGATTACTGGCAGGAGCCGCTGGGCCTTGCAGCTTCTTTAACTGGTTGCTTCTCAGCGCTGTGACTGGAAGTTTCACCTTCTTACTCCCGTGGCTTCAGATGGCTGCAACATTTCCAGCTTCTCCTCTTCCACCTTCCCGTCCACCATTTTCCCCCAAATTATCTAATTTTTCTTTTAATTTTCAATTCCTTGATAGATTGTATTTTGTACACTCGTTGGTGGCATTGTATACTTCTTGTGTGTCACCTTGGATTTTCTTGGTCTCACCTGTCTTGGGGGCCCTTGGTCACTTACGACAGATCCTGCGATCTGCAGAGTTCTAGTTTTGCAGCAGAGCCTCTGCCAGAGTTTCTGGCTTTTCCCAGCAGAAACACAACCAAGATTTGAGATCTGGTTCACTGAGACGCTGCTGAAAGGGTCAAGGCTATGAAACCCAGGTAGAGTGATTAAATTTACTCTTCACTTCCATCCCAGGCAGGGACGATTCTAAGGTCCTGCATGTCTATATGAGTGTCCCCGTGGGCCCTGTGATGAGCTGCATTCTTTCAGTGCTGCAGGTCCTGCTGCATCTGCTTCTCATCCTTCAATCTCCCTGCCCTGGGACTGTATCTCCTTATGAAGCATTCATGCTTACATCTTATTCAGGCTGTGTTTTTTAGAGACCCTTGGCTAAGCCATGGGCGGTTTACTTTTTTCTCCCTGCCCCCCCCTTTTTTTTTGAGACGGAATCTAGCTCTGTCGCCCAGACTGGAGTGCAATGGTATGATCTGGGCTCGCTGCAACCTCCGCCTCCCTGGTTCAAGCAATTTTCCTGCCTCAGCCTCCTGAGTAGTTGAGATTATAGGCATCTGCCACCACACACAGCTAATTTTTTTTTGTTTTTTGTTTTAGCAGAGACAGGGTTTCATTATGCTGGCCAGGCTGGTCTTGAACTCCTGACCTCAGGCGAT